CCGCGTCTCCACCTGCCGCCCTGGGGGCTCACGCGGGGCTCCCCGCGCCTCCAGGGGAGTCGTTCATGCAGCTGCAGCAGCGGCTGCTGCGGGAGAAGGAAGCCAAGCTGCGCAGGGCGCTGGAGCGGCTGCGGAGGAAGCGGCGCGTCCTGCGCCGGCAGCGCGCGCGGCGGGAGTTCCCGGTGGTGTCCGTGGTCGGCTACACCAACTGCGGTGAGTGGTCCCGGAGGGGCGGCGCGATTCGGGGAGACGCCGCCCACGCACGCCTGGGGACTGTGCTCTGAGCAGGTGGAAGGAGGCGGGAGGAGGGGACCGAGCCACGCGGCTCCCCGGCTGGGCGTCCTGCGCCCTGGGAGTTGCTGGCGCTGGCGCTGGCCGGGGCACTTCCTCCTCTTTCCGAGGTGCTTCCCAAGCTCTGAGAAACAGACAGAACACCAAAGCGCGGGGCGTTCGCAGTGTGAAGTCCAGGCACAGTGGACACCCGAGAAGGGTCCAAGCGGCTCAGGTTCTGTAAAACGAGACCTCAGAGCAAGACCTGGGCCTCCAGGGAGTCTGGCGCGGGAGGCGGACCTGGCCCTGCCGGGGTCTCGGGGCCCTGGGCCGTCGTGGCACGCAGCCTGGCACGCACGCCACCCCAAGCGTCCCTCCCCGGCCCCGTGTCCCCTGGGCACCTGCACACGCTTGTCACGTGCAGGCTTGGGAAATGTCGGGGTGAGCAGACCGGGGCCCTGTGCTCCCCGAGCTTTGGTTGGAGTTCACCACGGGCGGGGCCTCCCCTAAACCTGGTACCTAGGCCTGGGCCAAAAACCACGGCTCCTTTTTTTTATTTTTTTATTTTTTATTTTTTTTTGAGACAAAGTCTCACTTTGCTGCCCAGGCTAGAGTGCCGTGGCATCAGCCTCGCTCACAGCAACCTCAATCTCCTGGGCTCAAGCAATCCTCCTGCCTCAGCCTCCCGAGTAGCTGGGACTACAGGCATGTGCCACCATGCCCAGCTAATTTTTTTTTTGTGTGTATATTAGTTGGCCAATTAATTTCTTTCTATTTATAGTAGAGACGGGGTCTCGCTCTTGCTCAGGCTGGTTTCGAACTCCTGACCTCTAGCGATCCTCCCGCCTCGGCCTCCCAGAGTGCTGGGATGACAGGCCTGAGCCACCGGGCCCGGCCTAAAACCACGCTTTATATGCACATAAAGTCGTACTTTGTGGGGAATGCAGAATGCGCTGCCTGGCAGGACTGTGCAGGCCGGCTGTGGAGCTTCCATCACACACGGTTCTGTGTGTCTGAGACGGTGCCTCCGTTTTCCAGGCAGATCCCCAAGGCTGGGCCAGGCACGGGACGTTCGATGTTAGGGTCCACACGCACGCTGTGTGTCAGTGTGGTCGGTCCCTGGGGCACACGTACACACCATCATCATCAGTGTGGTGTACCCACGGGGTTCACTTCACTCAGAAATGACTGTCGCGGCCGGGCGCGGTGGCTCACGCCTGT